TTACCGGCAAAATCCGAGCTCAGGATCGTCTTAATATTAACTAAAACTTAACTAAATAGCGACAAGAAGAAAAAAAGAAAAATAATACAATAATCGCAAGAAAAAGAATAAAATTAAGTAGTACAATAATCGCAAAAAGGAAATAAGAATAATAAATAATGTCGCACATTCGCTTGTGCGCCCGCCCGTTGACCCTGAAGGACCCAGGATCTCGCGTTATGCTGTTTTTCTGGGTGACTGACAAAATGTCACGTCACAATACATATTCATTTCCATTTCATTATCCTTCAATAATAATATAAAAAACTATTATAGTTTGATCTCTCACCTAGAACACTATATTTGATTCAAGATTTTAGAGTGTAAGTTAACTAGTTTTCAATTACGTATATCTTCATAAGTGTACGTTTACAAATTATTATTCTAATTAATAATTAATATCGTGAAGAAGGATTGTTCTGACAATCAATTTCGGAATAACATTATACCTAAAAATTTATTACGTTTATTAGCATATTTGATTATACGTATGTAATATTTTGACATTTAAATAAATACATATTTACTTTTATTGCATATCTTTCAATAATAAAATGTATTATGTTAAAATATTTTATAGAGAACATCAATGTAAACATACTGGAAGAGTACCGTTCGGAAACCATTACCAAGAAAGAGAAACCATAATAAATTTCTTAATACTAAACATTAGAAAGAAGCATAAATGATGAAAAAGAAGAATATTTATTCATTTTTATGTACGTTCATTATAATTTTTTTTTAATGTTCAGTATTAAGAACTTTATTATGATTTCTCTTTCTTGGTGATAGTATCCGAAGTTCCGAAGTAACGCGTTAGAAATTGCGACTTATTTTTTTCCTGTAATAAATTACTTTTCCAACCCGCTCAAATTGTTATTACAGTAAGGTAACTAAGTAACTAAGTAACGGCAGTTACAGTAACGCGTTACTTGCCAACCCTGAATTCCGAACGGTGCTTTTCCAGTATGTCTACATTGATACTCTCTAAAATATTTTAACATAATACATCTTATTATTGAAAGATAATGCCAATGGAAGTGAATATGTATGAAAATGGTTTAAATTAAAAGCCTTTAATCTTTCATTAGTCAAATTTCTAATTTTTGTGTGAACTTCCGGTTTTGATTTGGTTATACCAAGTTATTAAATTCTACCTTTTAAAAACCCATGTAGTACTATTATTTAAATTCCACTAAATTAAAAAGTAAAATTTATGTGGTACTGTTTTTAATCTAATTTTTGTTTGAACTTCCGGTTTTAAGTTGGTTATACCAAGATAAATTCTACTAAATTAAATAGTAAAACCCATGTAGTACTATCTTTATCCTCATATAATGACATATATCATTTGTATAAAAGACCTGATATCAATAGTCGGCGCCTAGTTATTCTATATCAGAATTCTCTTTCTCTTTTCTTCTTCAGTAATACCCAACAGTTCCCAACTTTACGTCTGATTTGACTAATACTAACTCGAACATGTACTTGAATATCTCATTATGTATGCCAAGGTTAATTTTTTATAAAAACCTACGTGATGTTATCCTTATCATATTTGCTGTTTAGTGGAATTTAAAAACCTACGTGGTGTTATCCTTATAATCGGCTGTGGATCTGACCAGTTATATTTGTTGTTTAGTAGAATTTAAAAACCCACGTGGTGTTATCCTTATACTGTTTAGTAGACCAAGGTATAACCTAGATTCTACAATCGTATATGAACATACTGTAAGGTCGTCAGGAATGACCGTTGTGTCAGGATAGTTGAAGGCAGGGGATATAGTTGAGAATCGGTAAGGATAGGCAACTCAGATAACTCTGGAATAATAGAGGAAGGTCAAGCAAATAGTCAAGTTCACAGTTAAGCACTTTACTCTAGAACACAGTAGGTTAAGCCTGTCGCGTAGTCGACAGGTCAGAGCAGTACAAAGTCCAAACAAAGACTGCGCCCAGTGTTGCCACATTTAAAAATGGAATATCCCGAAATTTTATCCCTGCGCGTTCAAAAAATCCCTCAACCACAAATCTATAACGACCTTCTTTTTAGCATACATATCTTTTATTCTTTTGTTTCGCATACATTATTGAATATAAAAAGTTATTATTTAATATAAATACATTATTGAATATAAAAAGTTATTATTTAATATAAATACATTATTTGATATAAAAAGTTATTATTTCATAAAAAGTTTAATATTTATTTAATATATCATTTTTTTCAATTGCATTCGTTTGTTATTACATTTACATCTCCTCATCTTCACTACTTTCATTGTGATGATCGTACATTGATTTATTATACAAGGCTCGATACTCCTTTGTTATTACAAAATCGTAGCACGTGTTCACTGCTCTTTTCGCAAGCAAAATACCAACTAAGGTTTCTGTTTTTAATCGATTCCTACGGTCCGTTAATATTAACTTCACACTCGAAAAAACTCTTTCCACACTTGCACTTGAGTAAGGTAATATCAATGGATGCATCCAGAAGCACGACCGCTCATTGAGCGCTCAGTAAGCTCTTGTACCTGTTTGGTTTATATTTTTATTTCTAATGGAATATGCCAATTAGATAAAAAAGCTCATTGAGCGCTTAGTGAGCGATCATACTTCTGGATGTACCTAATAACTTCTTTGCCGAGCAAATGAACATGATTGATCTTTCGGGTAGATTTAATTAACCACACCCAATCGCTTGCCGAGCAGTGATTACGTACGGAAATTCCCCCGAATGGCCCTAACGGGGCCATTAACTGTTATTGAAAGAATGATTGGCCTGGATTGGCGATGTCGCGATCTATTACTTACGGGAACCATATAAAATCCTCCTATAAATTAAAATTCTCCGAATCCCTCCCTCGATCCCAGATAACCTTTAAAATCCCCGAATCTAGGGATAAATCCCTCGATGTGGCAACACTGACTGTCCCCGTGTCCCGACTCGCGCGGGAAGTAAACACGAACAACGATCCGAGAAGGGGGTCGGCCAATCGGTGACCACGAAGGGGACGCCAATCACTCGGGCCAATAGGCGCGAGGAAGGAATGCGTGTGCATCATCGGAGAAAGGCGCCGCGGACGAAGCGACAATTTAAACAAGGCGGAAAATATAAAGTAAAAGCTTGTCGCTTACAATACCTTTCTTTTTTTTTTTAAAAAAAAAGGTAAAACATGCGCTAAGAGTATGGGGTTTTGATAAAAAAACCGTTTGGGCCAGTTTCACTAACGCCAACTACTTAATCGGTTGTAGAACCGACTAATCATATTTGCTGTTTAGCATAACATGTCGCAGTTATTTTCTAGAAAATTGTAATCTGCAAATTGTAATGCTTTACTTATTATATATATGTATGTATGTTCATTTTGATTATTAAATTTGGATAATATACACTCTTTTTATATATTTACTTTGAACTGGCACCTTTAATAATATATCAGTTACTTTTCATGGTAATTTATTATTGGAGAAATAAATGTGTTTGAATTAATTTTGATATAATTTTTTTAAAGAAGAATTAATCTACTTGGGTTGGAATAGGAAGATCTTTCAATATTTATTTTTGTAAAGAAGATTTAAACCATTTGGATTGAAATAAGAAGAACTTTTAATAAGAATATGAAGACATATATGGTTCTTAGATTTCATTGTATAAGATAAAGATAATACTACATTGGTTTTACTATTTAATTAATTAGAATTTAATAAGAATAGTACCACATGGGTTTTTAAAGATATTATTAGAATTTAACTTGGCGCCAACTATTGATATCAGATCTTTTATACAAATGATATATGTCATTATATGAGGATAAAGATAGTACTACATGGGTTTTATAGAATAACTTTGCGCCGACTATTGATATCAGATCTTTTATACAAATGATATATGTCATTATATGAGGATAAAGATAGTATACTACATGGGTTTTACTATATATTTTTTTTAAGAAGAATTAAACCATTTGGATTGAAATAGAAAGATCTTTCAATAAGAATAAAAACTACATGGGTTTTACTAATTAATTTAGTAGAATTTAATAAGAATAGTACCACATAGGTTTTCAAAGATCTTTTATACAAATAAGAGTCATTAGATCTAATTTACATTTTGGTCTAGGTTACATCTTGGTCTACTAAACAGCAAATATGATTAGTCGGTTCTACAACCGATTAAGTAGTTGGCGTTGGTGAAACTGGCCCAAACGGTTTTTTTTTATCAAAACCTCATACTCTTAGCGCATGTTTTACCTTTTTTTTTT